CTTTTGAACATATCACTTAAAAAATTTGATTTAATTAATTTCGGTATGTTCAGTTTCATTTAATTATGTCATTCTACCGAAACTGTGATACTGTTGTAATTGGTGTTTAAATGCCTATTAGAAAGTAGTAAATTTAAGTGTACAGGGTCGATCATAAAGTTCTGGCACATCAAACTTTATTTTTTTTTAATGAAACCCCCTGTATATTATTGCATATTTCAATTCTTCCTTCAATTTTAAGCAATAATTGTAATACACAATGTACATACATAACTTGAACAATTGAAATGTTAAACGAAAATTTTTAATTTCCAGACTTGATTAATCTCATTTTATACATCTATAAATGCTAATTTGAGAATTAATGTCAAATATTATTAAGTATTACAGTTTCGGCAGAATGGCATCGTTAAATGAAACTGAACATATCGAAATTAATTAAATTAAATCGTTTAAGTGATATGTTCAAAAGTCAATAACACGGAAACGGTTGGTTTGAAGTGCATTGTGTGTATTTCGATTTTTGCTTAGAATTGAATGAAGAATTGAAATATGCAATAATATACAGGGGGTTCTGTTTAAAAAAATTAAACTTTGATGTCCCACGACTTTATGACCGACCCTGTATACTTAAATTTATTACTCGCTAATAGATAATTAAAAATCCTATAACTTTTGTATTTAACTTTTTGCAGTACCTCCTATATTTTACCTAATAATTGACCCTTTCCATACATAACAGCGACCCTGTATACCGTGCTGGCAACTGTTACTTTTGGGTCGGAATTTACATGTGTGGAAGTAAATCGCATAGGGATCTTATTAAGTCGAAGTGAGAGAAATGCGACCGACCGACGCGACGCGCGACGGTATGCTGTTGCCGATACGCCTTTCCCTATCAAGTAAAGTAAAATCACGATCGCAAACCGCTTATTTTTAAAAGACTTTTTTTTCAAGAGATAACTAGATAAAATCATTAGACATGTTTCTGAGCATCTGAAATGGAATTATAAGGATATCGTTAAGGTGTAATTTTTTTTATAACGAAAAAACGTCAGTAATCGCGATAATTTAAAAACTTAACTTTTTTACACATAACAGGCCATAACTCAAGAACCACTTTAGATATTGAAACTTTTTTTATTTTCAAGATCGGATATTTTACAATATGGTTACATAAGAAAAATTCGATAAGGTTGTTTTTTCCATTTAAAAATTGTAAACAATCCATCCATTTACTTTTAGAGCATAGCAATTCTCAGCAATCGTGTAACTTTTTTATTGATAAAGATTTTCACGTACTGTCTACAAAGAAAATACAGCAAAAATATTAACAAAGTTCTTGAAAAAACTACAATCTATTATTTCTAATAGATTTCGAGATATCGATTTTTGAATTCAGAGTTCTAATAGCGCGACCACTATCGAACACCCACTCAATTCCACTCAGTTTTACCAAAAATGCAAGTGTTTCTAGCTTGCACTTAAAAAAATTCAAGCTATAGGGAAAATTACAACGACTCCTTAATAAATAAACAAATTAAGTATCACGAGACGTAATTAAATCGTGAAGCTGAACGCATGACGTACACCTTTCCCTAGAACTTTAAGTACTGACAGAGGTATTGATTGGGTCGACCGGTCAACTGCGACAAATCCGCTATATCCCCTTCCACGTCTCTTAGCGATGTCCACAGTTTCTCGGTTTATTTCATACGTTTGACAACGTGTTTACTGTCCTCTCTTTGTTCAGTACATTATAAACGCATTGTACTCTTCTTACATACGGAAATCTCGACCCAAGACGAACCTTTGCCAGCCCTTTACTAACTTTGCCAACCCAGTATTTAATCAATGCATGATAAAAAGTTGGCTATGGCACTAATAAGGGAATTATTTGCAAATTGTAATGACTAATATCTATGTTCACAGTTAAAATGAAAGCACTGTATATACATGGTTATAATTATATTTCTTCCTTAATTTTTCTACCCAAAGAAAAAAAAAAGGAAATTAACTCGTAAACCAAATGCAATCTACAATTTACAATGTTTTTGCTGCTTCCCCTCGATATCTCTTAATCTGACCATTACACAAATCAAAATCAGATCACCTTAACCCGAAAAACAATCCCCGAAATTAATACGTTAGCAAACTGCACACGTACAGCACCGACATTAATATCTGATATCTTCGTTTTTGCCGACACGCTCCGATTTTAATCTGAGAATTAATATTGGCTCTGCAATCTACAGAGATCTAAAACTAATACACTTCGGAGCTTTTCAACGTCTCAATTATCGCGAGATCGAATATTAGAGCAACTCGAACGTTCGACGAGGCGTATACTCTAATTTCGATTTATTGAATTAGCAGTTGTTGGAGTGATTGAGTTGAATGTAAAGATATATTTCATTACATTATTGGATTTATACCAAAAAAAGGGAAGCTATTATATTAGAGTTTAAATGACCCAAACATTAAATTCGATATAAAAGAGTCTATGAGAAACGTATCGCCTTGGATCTAAAACTAGTGGTTACAGGTCGGTAAATTTACAGGTATTAAATTTAATAATTCATTTTTTGTTTATAACTTCTATTTAAACTAAGATATAGATAATGGGACAGTCAGTATAAACTAATAAAACTAGATAATGGGACACAGTCAGTATAAATAATTTCCAAAATAATTGTTTTTATTTGGAAAATTATTATATAATTTATATTGTTGCGGACCCGTGTGGACTTAGCCTAACCGGACTAATATGCCCCGCCCCCATTCGAGAACGAGTGGAATAATCTGCAAGAGATCGGTTACCTGCATGAAATCGACCCAGATATGTTTTTAAATAACATTGAAAATCAAACAATTAAAATACAACAATTTCAGGTCGATAATCAAACACAGGTTACCGAAGTTCAATGTCCTCATGGTCATAGCCGGGTGAATGTAATTAGATGGAAAAATATTAAACGACGTAACCAGCGATGCTCAAGACGGATAGGAAATAAAAAAGAGTATGCTGAAGAGAGCGGTTAGGTTAGGTTAGGCTAACGGCAGTTAGTCGCATTAGGAGTCAGTTAGTTAGTTGCAGAGTTAACAGCAGTTAGTCATCAGTAGTCGGTAGTTAGTCGAGTTAACTGAAAAGACAGAAGTCAGCCCGTTAGCTAAGAAGATGCTGTTGTAAGTACTCCTCTCAGCATATTCTATACTTTGTCTAGTCATTGGCATTTCCAAGAATTGTTGTTTAAAACTATTGTATATCTCATGTCAAATAAATGTTTTTTTTAATAGTTGTTCTGATTAAAAGAGAAAACCTGGTATAGGGATTCTAGCAAACAACCCCCAGCTAGGTCACGACAATATATAAACCGACGCCTGGGCCTGAGGAAGACAGAAACAAACAGATCGGTCGACGCGTACAATTGCCGCGCTAAATTCAAAATAAATTCCTTTTAGATAAATAGTTAGATAATTAGTAAATAAGTTGTAAATAGTTCTTTAAATAGTTTTATCGCTATTGTTTTGTTACTTAGTGTAAAATAAATTGTGTTTAAATAAATTAGACTTTCTATCTACACGGAACCGACGAAAAACGTAGCAATATAATAAAGTCAAAACTTAGGACCGAGAAGTAAGAACCTTAAGTAAGAACAATCTTCGGGTTGTTACAAGGTTTTTAACAGAACACTGTCTTTTCAACGAACACTTCATTAGATTGAAGCTAATAAACAACGGCTAATGCAGATTCTGCGGGGAAAATGGGGAAACACCAAAATATCTCATCACTGAGCGCGCCGAGACAACCATTCAAACCCTAAACTTTGGTGAGGCTGATGTCAGAGATAGTGAACTGGCCTCTGTGAAATCGTTTCAGATACTGGCTTTTTCAAAGTAGTGTTATGAGGAGCTATAACTAGTTATAACTCAATAAAGAGAGACAAACAATAGATCTGTATGGTCGCGGTAATTAACTCTTCTCCCAAACATTCTGATAAAGATTTTTTGCTCTCACTGTCAAGAATTTTGCCAATAGATGTAGTAGAGTTTCATTTAAAAAGTGATTTCTACGCCTATTGTAAAGCTGATATAACTCTAAATTTACTTATATAGAAAGTGTATATCATAAATTAACAAATTACGAAAGAAAGCTCAACAACAAAATCTTGATATAAATCTTCTTTTGTTTTTATTTTTACCTTTTTACCTAAATTATCATGAAAAAAACTGATAGTTTTGGTTTAAATTTTAATGATCCTCTGATTTTTATTTTAAATGCTTTGAATGACTTAATTTGTAAAATTTAATGGCCCATCACATTTTCAATCACCTTATTAATCGGCTTTAATTGTAATATACGTTTACAATTCTCGTTAAATAATTTTGATTGCTATTATTGATTTGGTGATTAAAATGCTTACTTATTTTTTAACTGATATTTTTTGAAAAATATATTACCTGAGAGAAAAAAAAGCAGGAATTCCAATGAAAAATAAAAGAGAATAAGCATGTAGAATGAGAGGGAGGAAGCAGCGCACAATAGAACGCAATGGAAAACAATTGTAAACTCAGTTAACAACGACAAACAAAAAGTAAAGAGGCAACAAAGTAATAAGATTTTTGAATGTCCGGAGTGCGGAAGAGAGATAACTTCACGTATCGGGCTTTTTAGTCACGAAAAAGCTTATGAAAGAAAACGCTCTGCGTAACCATATTCTGATGCATGTCAAATACTCGTCAGCAATGGCAGTAGTAGTAGTAAGGAAAGTGTGTATCATAAATTAACAAATTATGAACCAAAGTCACTCCCAAGTTCTTGAAATGTTACTTCTTATTTGTAAAACATTCCACACTAAAATACCCAATTTGAACAATATAACAACAAGTCGAAGTATGTATTTGATAAGCACTTCTTACAAATTCGCCCGAAAAAATTTGGAATCAATGTAACCACCGCCTGAGGTAATTAGTTCAAATAGTTTAACAACAATACTTACCCTTGTACTATCTCTCCTCTCCTGTTGGGGTACAGCTCCGGGTGCTGTCCGTATCTCAGGTACACGACCAGCTGCTGTTCGGCCCTGGTGTCGAAGCTGAAGTAGGTCTGGTCGGTGAAGTTCTCCACGTGGAACAGCACCTTCACGAACGACGTTTCCGACATGAACGTTTGGGGCTGTTCGGTCTCGCCGCAGAACATGCCCGGCTCTTTGCGGTTGGACACGTCGGTTTTCGCGTTGCCATCTACGATCTGTAACAGGAAGAGAAGGGCGTTAGTGGTAAATTAGCATATATAGGGTGTTTTCAAAAATGGCGCAACCCTATAACTTCTTAATTTTTTCAGACAAGAAAACTAAATTTGGTATGTATGTATATGACGTAAATCGGAATTGATTGACGTATTCAATTAGTTTCGGTCACTTCCTCTTTCAGCGGAAATGACTACAAATTTTGATTTTTAATTGGTACCCTCAAGAGTTTTTTTACTATATTTGATAGAAAATGACAGTCTGAATATAATGACATATCATATGCCCATTTTAACATCTTTGCTTAAAAACAGTATTTTAAATTTTAATGTATTATGAACTAATCTACAGTATAACCCCGGATTGTCTTTACATGAGGAAATACTTTTTTATTATTGACATTTTGAGAAAAACGCATTCTTCATAAAAAAATTGCTTGTTCTAAAATGGTTAATTCCGTTTATACTTTTCCAAATTTCCATACGTTTTAGAGAAAATTAGAAAAAACATGAAAATACGTTTGAATTTTTTCTGAAGTCCTAAAAATAAAGAGGCGTTTCTATAGTAATATAATTTCGATTTCATTCTTTGATAGATGATTATCATAAAACATCCCCCTTTAGAACTTTATCTGTCATGTTATGTTAAGAAATGAAAATAAATAAAGCGCCTCTCGTGATTGTTCGCATACTAAAAAATTCAATTAATGCCTGTATATATTTTTAATATAAACTCACCGGCAAAAAAAACAGGCCATTAAAAACTAGTCCCAATTTCAAAGTTGGATTTCTCGCGAACCACTCATTAGATTTTGATGATTTTTTTTTAAATTGTAAATTAATTCTTTCTTAATGGATGCTACGTCAGACATTTTTATTCCGAATTTATTTTTTTAACAATAAGACGAAATTTTTTGCCCGAACTTTGTAACACCCTGTAGGGTGCAGTAGCTGTAGTAGCTATTGCTAAATCAAATCACATTGTAGCCTCATCTTTTGTGAGCATTTTGTTTTTTATCATGACATCATCTCTGTTTGTATTGGAGATACGCTACTTTAAAACAAACGCCTCGAAAAAAGCTTTAGTCCATTGTTCAATATTTCAATTCACATGTAAACGCGCAAACTGAAGACGTGCTCGCCGATGTCTTGGAAGTAGCTGGGGTCCTGTGGCAGACCTCCTTGCAGACAAGCTGTTTTCTTTTAGTCTTTGACGGATTGTTCTCTCACTGACTTGAGTTGTACGCACAGCTTGTAGCAGATGTTGATTCTGAAATGCTGTAATTCTACGATTTCGTAAAGTATTTAGGACAATAAAGCGGTCGTCAATTTCATTTGTCTTCTGTTTTCTTCCGGAACCCACTCGTCTCGAAATTTCCCGTTTCCAGGAATATACCGATTGAAATACCGATTCCAGGCCTCCTGGACTGTTGTTCGAGGTATACCCATAGTATCGGACACATAACGTTAACTTCGGCCATCCTCAGTTAAAGCTACAACATCCGTCACAGATAATGGCATTTTTTAATTAGACAGCCGTTGTTGTCATATTGCAAATACTCATAAATCCATTTTCGCCTATGTCGCCCTGATTACTTACACATAAAACTTTTTGCCTGTGAAGCATTTTTTCGAAACGTTCGTTTTAAAGCAGCGTATCTCCAATACAAACAGAGATAAAGTCGTGATTAAAAAAACAAAATGCTCACAAAAGATGAGGCTGCAATGTGATTTGATTCAACAATAGCTACTACGGCTGCTGCACCCTACAGGGTGTTACAAAGTTCGGGCAAAAAACATCGTCTTATTGTTGTGCCCTGTATATGCTCAAAACAAATTCGGAATAAAAATTTCTGACGAAGCATCCATTAAGAAGAAATTAATTTACAATTTAAAAAAATTATCAAAATCTAATGAGTGGTTCGCGAAAAATCCAACTTTGAAATTAGGACTAGTTTTTAGTGGCCCGTTTTTTTTTTTGCTGGTGAGTTTATTTTTTAAATTTACTAATAATTGTAAGTTAATATATTCCATTTAAATTGAATATATTACTTAACAATTAGGTAATTCAATTACAGATTTTAAATTTAACATATGTTAGAAAACAAGCTAACATTTAAAAAACACGAATTATTAAATTAAATTTCAATATACAAGGTGTTCCAGAAATAAGTTCAAGTATTTTAACTGGTAGTATATTTCGACCTCGGAAACACGCCTATGAGGTATTTTTTGCAAAAAAAAAATTTGAAAATTTGAAATTTTTGAAAAAAAATTCTGGAAATTTTTTTAGTTTTAAGTTAAAAAACATAGTTTCTTGATAATATGGCAGCATAGGTAGTATATTAAATTAACATGAAAGAAAATCCAGAAAAGAAAATCCAGTGCTTCTCAAAATTTAACCAAAAAAGCATTTTTTTTTAAATTTTCAAAGTAAAATAACTCGGTTATTTTGGACTTATTTGAATAAATTATTATAAACGTCAAATTTGTTGCTGTTGTTAAAGTATCACATTTTCCGATATTTATTATCACCCTTTCCGTAGCATTGAACTAAAACAGAAACATTTTAAAACAGAAAAATTACGTTAATTAAAATTCTATCAATAACAATCTCTCAAAGAATGAAATGGAAATTATATCCATAGAAACGCCTTTTGTTAACGCTAATAAATAATAACGTTAAATAAAACGCGTAATTATATTTTCATGTTTTTTTTAATTTCTCGAAAACGGTATAGAAATTTGAAAAAGTATAAACGAGATTAACTATTTTAGAAAAAGCAAAAAATTTTTTGAAGAATAAAATTTTCTCAAAATCTCAATAATAAAAAAAATCCTCTTGTCAAGACAATCCGGGGACATACTGTAGAATGCCATGGCTATGATAAAACCACTAATTTTTATCAAGCCTTGAAATTTTTTTTACAAAAAATACAATAATAATTTGGAATACAAAAAAAAAACATTGGCAATATTGGACCTTCTCGCATTAATGGGTCACTCTGTATATCGTTAGTCCATCTTTTCTATTTATGCTTAATATTCCTGTATTAAGGAAATATTCTTTACTTAAAACAATAAACAGAGAACTATTTTTAGCGCCCTGAAACTTGTTATCTTTAACTTTATTTAAAGATTGTTAAAACTCTATTTAATAACGAACTAAAATTTAATTGTTATAATCCCGGTGAATTCAAACTTAACCGAAATAAAATTCAATTTTATTTTAATATGTTATTATACCCTAGCAAAGTTTCAAGCTGCAGTGGATGCTCCAAAATTGACTCGTTTTCATAAAGTGGGTCATCGTAAAACTCATAAAGCGACTTAATTAATTTTTTTCTTTCAATGACTCTCTCAATTTTCTCCATCAGAATCCTCGAATAGCCGCAATTTTGTTTTCGTAATTTAAGTAAACAGTTTTGCATTATTGGGGCGTTTAATTTTTCGAGAGCAGGCTTTTCATACCGCTATATTAGACTTTAGAAATTGATTTTTGTAATTTAATAAAGGTAATTTTTTAAAAATTGTAAATAAAACAAGTTTCCTTTAGGGTAAAAACTACACTGACCGTCACTGAAACACGGACACCTTAAAATGTTCATGTAATTTAAAGTTGTTTTAAACAAACTGGCTAAATACCGCCGCGATCAGCGGTATAGACAATTGACAATTATACATATTTATTAACATTGAATACCGCCGAACAACGAGGTAACTTTTTCAAGTACGGCGGTAGTCGATCAATACCGCCAGCGGTATACTTAAAAAAAGCAGATATACCGCCGGTATTTTATGCAATTTTACGGTTTTTTTCCAAGGTAAGTTCCGCGATGAGGTTGTCAAAAGTAGGGTTGTCAAAATTAAACTACATTTTATTAAAAATGTTCATGTAATTTAAAGTTGCTTAAAACAAACTGGCTATTTACCGTCGCGGCGGGCGGTATAGACAATTGACGGTTATACATATTTATTAACATTGAATACCGCCGAACAACGAGGTAACTTTTTCAAGTACGGCGGTAGTCGATGAATACCGCCGGCGGTATACTTAAAAACAGATATACCGCCGGTATTTTATCCAATTTTATGTTTTTTTCCCAACGTAAATTAAATTACATTTTATTGAAAATGTTCATGCAATTTGAATTTGTTTTAAACAAACTAGCTAATTTACCGTCGCGGCCGGCGGTATAAACAATTGACGGTTATACATATTTATTAACATCGAATACCGAGGTAACATTTTCAAGTACGTCGGTTGTTGCTGAATACCGCCGCTTGGCGGTATACTTAAAGAACAGATATACCGCCGATATTTTATCAATTTTTATGTGCTATTCTTTTTACCCACCTAAGTTCCGCTATTAGGTACTGTTGTCAAAATTAAACTACCTTTTATTGCAAATCATCATGTAATTTAAAGTTGATTTAAACAAAGTGGCTAAATTACCGCCGCGACCGGCGGTATGTTTTTTCCATAACGAGGGGCCGTCCTCTGCCGGAAACACTGCGACCTGTGAAACCTATTGTGTTTGTCTCCTTTCTATATCTGCACCCAAACGGCCGGCGGTATAGACAATTGACGATTATACATATTTATTAACAATGAATACCGCTTAACAACGAGGTAACATTTTCAAGTACGTCGGTTGTTGCTGAATACCGCCGCTTGGCGGTATACTTATAAAAACAAACATACCGCCGATATTTTATCAAATTTGATTTGTTATTCTTTTTCCCAACGTAAGTTCTGCGATTAAGTACTGTTGTCAAAATAAAATTACATTTTATTGAATACAGCATACAAAACAGTAATGAATTGGCGGTCGGTAGATCTTAAATTAGGTTAATGTCTAGCTGTAAGCGTGTTTTGATTGCTTTGGTTTCACTCTTTTTTGTTTTAGTTCTTCTCTATTTGATAATAAAGCGCATCTGATTGCTTTGAACATTATGATTTTAAAATTGAATGAAAATTGAATTTTTTATTCCAAGAATAT